TATACCCTTTTTTTAACAGTGTTTTGATTTATACCCTTAAACATAATTAAACATTTTAATGAAGTATTAATTACGTCCAAAAAGCCCAACCTTACAAGCCCAAACCACATGACTCTATTCTACCCTCCTTCCTTACGAGCAAAATCCCAGAACCGTAAAAAGTAGTTTCCCAAATCCGAGCAAATCCGAGCAAAATCGAATTAAATTCTACAGAGGTGGATGGTTGCATTTGTAGGTTTGGTAAATAAGATGAAAGATACTGCCCCTTGTGTAATAGTCCAAACTCGCACGCCAACTCTTTCCCTTTCTCTCGTATTCTGCTTCTTGTGGCTTTTTTTAATTTTCATAACGTGTATGACCTTAATTGTTAGAGATTTTTTATGCATGTAAGGTGTTTGACAAAATGATAATGTGAAGTCTGCCACATTTTCTATGAAAAAGTGACGGTTTGTCACTTTTCTATGAAAAAGTGACATTCTGTCACTTTTCTCAAAAAAAGTCACACGCCCTCCCCAATTTTGTGATCTTTTAACCCCTCCTTCCCCAGTTTTTGAATTATGTCACTTTTTTTGAGTTTATGTCACTTTTTTACTTTTTTATGTCATTTTTTTTGAGCTTTGTGTCACTTTTTTTATTTTACACAGTATTTTTTATTTCATAAAAACATTTCACATGATTTTTCAAAACACCCCTAATTTTAAGGGTATTTTTGTAAATACCCCTTTTTTAAAATTCAATTTCAAAAATCAGATTTAAAGTTTATTTAAATTCAATTTCAAAAATCAGATTTCAAAAATCAGATTTGTAAATACCATTTCACATGGTATCAGAGCTTTACTCTTCTCTGCACACTTCTTTTTCATTTTTCAAGTATTTTGATATGTAATTCTGATCTCAAATGGAATTGTCCGCAAGAAATTCTGTCATTGATGAACCTTCAAGCTCCTATTTTCTTCACCATTTCGACAGTCCAGGATTAGTACTAGTGTCACAGCTGCTTACAGGAGAAAAACTACGCATCTTGGAGCCAATCAATGACAATTGCATTGTCCGTGAAAAATAAATTCGGATTCATCGATGGAACTATAACAAAACCGGAAGGTTCAAACGTTGATTTGATCAATTCATGGATCAGGAACAATAATATGGTGATTTCTTGGATCCCTAACTCATTTCAAAGGAGATTTCTACGAGTGTGATCTATGCAACTTCAGCTGCAAAATCCACCGAGCTTTCATACACAATTCTTTTTAACCGGAATTTTACGGTACCGAGGTCCATAGGACTCTTGATAATTTGATAGTAATCATGAAGCCCTAAACCCTTGACATCAACAGGCGTATTGAAAACCCAACCATGCTTGTGCTTCATCAATTTAGTCAAAATCTGACCACGCCTATTCATCATGCAACTAAGAACCTTGTTCATTGATGAGTTAGAAACCACCAAAGGCCGCTTTGTGCATCTGTCATAGAGAAATGATGATGCCCCCGCTCCTCTCTTTTTCCTCAAATGCTTCTTTCCATTGTTCTTCCCGGTGGCTTTCATCGTCTGCTTCTGAGTTAGAGCCTCCACTGCAAGCGACACTGGTTGAACCATAGGATTAGAGCCTCCACTGCAAGCGAAACTGGTTGAACCATAGGAGGCCAAAAGGGGATACTGGGACGAACTCCATTGTCTCGAGACTCAATCCGGCGCGAGAGTCTCCTGACCCGATCTAGATCGGAGAACAAGCGCTTTTTAAGCTCTTCCTTCTCTCTTCTAGAAAACTCATTCAGATTGTACATCATGTATTCCCCATGGACAGAAATAGGCTTATACGTGTACGCTTTCCGTTTATCTAGATCGGGGAGGGCTCTCTGGTATGTCGGAAATGGACTGTAGGCGAGGGTTCATGGATTTTGAAAATAGGGTTAGGTAGGGTTTGGAATTGGGGGTGAGGATCGGATTGATATTATTGCTTGTATACAACCGGTTGGTGAAAATCGTTGGAGCGCACGTAGCAAAACTTCCGCTTCCACACAACAAATGAGATAAGATGGTCCATGGTTTTACTATTGCCAAATTAACTGTTGTAAAGTGGGGACACGTGTAAGTCAAAACATTTTAATATGTTTAAATGACGTCCAAGTCTACCCTCACGTTGACGCATGATGGAAAGTAGGATAGAGTAGAGGTCAACGACTCAACGTGACTCTATTTAATTTTAATTTTAGGAAAATTGAATCCAATTATAAGTCAATAATTTTTTTATAATGAAATCAATTATTTTTTTTAAGATACGGAATCAAATCCAAATCAAATAATTCGGTCATGATTTGGTTTGATTTTGTTATGTTACATCCCTTAAATTTTCCAAACTAACAAACAAAATATAGGGTGTGCTTGAACTACATTATTTTGGAAGAATGTATTTTTGAATAGTAGATTGATGAAGAATGTGTGGTTAAAAAATAAGAAAAAGTTATTGATGTGATGAAAAATATTATTTTATTGAAAAACATGTAGTTGAAAATTAGTAGAAGAATGAAAATGAAAATTTTAATATGGCTCAATAAATATAGGGTGTGCTTGAACTACATTATTTTGGAAGAATGTATTTTTGAATAGTAGATTGATGAAGAATGTGTGGTTGAAAAAGAAGAAAAGGTTATTGATGTGATGAAAAATATTATTTTATTGAAAATGTGTAGTTTAAAATGAGTAGAAAAATGAAAATGAAAAGTTTAATATAGCTCAAACGGGATCATAATCTTAATTTGAATACACAAGGATCAAATTTCATCCTCATACAAAATATTATCTAATAACAATAATATACTAATGTAGACGAATGAGCCACTAACAAAAAGTTAATTATATCAAGTTTCATATTCATGCTTCGCCTAATCAATTCTTTTGCATGAATTAGAATTTAGATATAGACTGGACTGCATTTTTCTGATAGGTTATGAGATAAAATGCTAAAATTTTATGATAAATGACATTTTTGTCAATTTCACATTTGTAATTTTCAAAGTCAAATGTTTTTTGGGCAATTAGCACATAATGTCTCTACCTTTCATTTTTTTTTTTTTTTTTTTTTTTTT